TTGATTTCAGGGTCGTGAGTTCAAGCCCCACATTGGGCTCCGTGGTGGACGTGAAGCCTGCTTAGGGAAAAAAAGACTTGATTTTGTTCAGCTCTATCCTAAACTGCATGATATGGAACAAATTATGTGACCTTTTGGGGTCTCAGTTTCGTCATATAAAATGAAATTTCAACTTAAAAATTTTATTTAAATGTTTATTTATTTGGAGAGAGAGATTTAGAGAGTGAGCGGGGAAGGGACAGAGAGACAGAGAATCCCAAGCAGGCTCTGTGCTAACAGCTGAGCTCGAACTCACGAGCCATGAGATTGTGACCTGAGCCAAAATCAAGAGTCCAACCGCTTTACTGACTGAGCCACCCAGATGCCCCGAGATTTCAACTTTATTCTAACATCTTTGAGTCTCCATTTGGCTACCTACTTATTCTAAATTATGTTGGGTACTTAGGCTTTGTGTTATTAAATCTCAATGCTGATATTCAGAAATTTGTGTTAAAACACAGCTCTTATGTTTGATTTATGCTAAGCATTAATTTTGTGTATTGATTATGATAAATTTTTTTTCTTCCTCTGGAGCCCTTTCAGCTTTTGAAAACTGTTGAGTGGTATATGGAGCTGCTTTGGAAGCCTGGCCTACGTAGTAGAAGAATATTTGAGTCTTTATATTTAAAAGAATTTAATGAATGTCTTTGTGATGTTTTAACAGGAAAATAGTTTTTAAATAGTTTCAGTAGGTTTGGGGCATAATATGTGCAAAATCAAAGTGATCTTAACATTATCTTGCAGACATTTAGAGTTCACTGGCAAATCAAACACTTCAGAAATGGTTTTAAGTTCAAGCAGGATTTGCTAAAACTTTTGTTTCTTATGTGGTACACAAATGAATCCCAGATACATTATTTAGGCCACTTTGGGTAAAAGAATGGAATTTTGGGCTCTAAGGGTTCCACAGTGCTCTTCAAGCAAATTAAATTTTATTCCAATGTTAACCAGTTAGTTGAAATAGCAAATGCCTAAACTTTTTTGGGTATTTAGGCCTTGAAACACTCTCAGACCTCCTTGTGTTTTTATATCTTTTGAAGCGTGACTGCATGTTGCAAAGAGAAAAATTCTAATTCCAAGTAGAGAGTAGGGAAGAGGCCTTCCTTGATAGCATATGGAAATGGAGGCTATTTTTAAAGTTGTAGCACATGGAAAGTAAGGCCGACTTGGGGTTTGGCGTCCAGATGATGCGACTTGGAGAGAAACAGTTGTAGTAATAACTGTTAATAACTGTAATTGATCAATAACAGGTGGTCTAATTGATTTGAAATAGTTCTGTTTCTCTTAAAGGTTAAGAAGGCTGTTAAGAGAGTTCCCTTTATTGGTTTATGGCAGCAGAGAACCTCGCTTATGTAAGGCAGGCAACACTTTGGTTTTTAACGATGAAACCGGGATAAGCTGGCATAAGTCATCAGTGTTTAGCCCTGAGCTGCTTCTGAGTTTTCCTCGGGCTCAGCCTCAGATTTATGAAGGTACTGTGAAGGCACTTCTTTGGCTGGATTAATGCTGGTTAAGGGTGTGGGATGTGCTACCTCAAGTAACTATTGCAAAAGTTAAGCTTCAGTTTTACTTGAAAAGGAATCACATTCTGCCAAATATAGGTTGTATTTGTGATTTGACCACATTGGAGAGGTCTTAAGAAAAACCTTTTTTTCCCCCCTCAAATCCGTTTTTTAAAACTTCTTGACCCCCTAACTGACCTGAGAGATGAAATACCTTGTACACTTTATTTCTGTCTATAGCTCGATAGTAATTGTAGTGATATCCAACTAGAATTTTTGACTTCAAGTCTAATTATTTCAGTTCACAACTCCTGTTTCTGCAACCATAAAAGTGGTGTCTGAACTTTGAGTTTTTCCTTCTAGTCCCCAAATTTTCATTTTCTCTGTTTGGTCGAATTGTCGGGTTCTGGCGTGTCATGCTGTGTGTAAGGGGAGGTTCTGGGGGCTGAGTCACTTGGGAAGAAGTATTTCCTCATGAATTAAAAAAAAAAAAGACTGACCCATAATATTTCAACATCAGCTCAATGATCCACTTAACTAAACTGGCTGTTTTGTAACATGTTTGTGGACACTGGTTAAAAGTTAAAGTAGCTGAATTGTGCATTTTATTGAGTGCCAAGAGCAAAAGGGAAGTTCAAAAACCTTTGGAAATAGATGAAATAATTTAGTATCCTGGCAGTGCTCTGATTCTCTGGTTGAGAAACCCTAATTTTTAGGATTCTTACTTGGATCAAATTGTTGTAATTTCAAACCGTTTTAGAGGTTAAATATTTTTAAACCAGTAGAGAATTAAAAATATGTGGTTATTTATTTTATTTTTGTCACTGAACAACCTAAGTGACTGGTTTGCTTGTTGTTCTGTAAGTGAATGTTATTGAGAGACAACCCCTAATTTAAATTGGCTTGTCATCCACCTCATTCTAGCTGACCACGTCCCTAAGGCATGCTACTTAAAGATGAGCTGGAAAGCTCTGTTGAAAACACACACACACACACACACACACACACACACAAGCACCTAGCCATGTGGACTGGAAATATCTTCTTTTTCAAATGTTAGAATTACTGTTGTGTCTATAGATGCAATGTAATCCATTTGGATATTTAAACTAAGTGGAATGTTGTTTCCATGCTTCCGGATTAAAGTGGGGGGGAGCTCTTTTATTGTTTTAAAACAAGGCTTAAATAATGTACAATCAATGCGCCTGGTGACGCGCCCCACTCTCATTCCAGCTGTGTTCACCTCCATTGCAGCTGAAAGGAATTCTAATTGGCTGAGGAATGTCAGCAACATCGTGTATCACTGAGCATGAACCTATTTTGCCGGCTGCTGGGTGATGCATTTCAGATGTTTTCAGCTCCCGAGTCCAACTTGGAGGTTGCTTTCAGGAGTCTGGAAGAGAACGTTGTGAGGCTGCGGGATGTAGACAGCGGCCTGCGTTTTTCTTTGTACGTTGGGCATTCGCTAGATTCTCTAAAGGCCACGCACGGTACTTTCTTGTGGCTTAAACACTGACTCGGGGAGTCAGAAGGTCTGAATTTGATTTTTAACTCACAGAAGTGAAGAAAGGGGGTGGGTGGAATTACAATCTTTTAGACTCCGTTTGCCTGTCTGTGATGCAAGATACCTGCCTTTGCATGTTGCACAAGGACTTGATGCGGATTAAATATTTTGATGCGTAGTTATGGATTATTTATAGGGTAGCCTGGTGTAAATAGAGGGCCATAGGTTCCTGTTATTTCTTATTCCCAAATAATTATGTCAGTGCTAACACTAATGGTATGCTTTGACACTGAAGAAAATCTATAAAACCTATTGATAAACATGAAAAGTAATACTCAAGAACAAATTGTTAAATTCTCTATGCATTCAGAAAGTTCCCTGGAGAAATAGCATTAGTTGCCAAAGCCAGCCTCATCTTTAATTGTGAAACCTTGGAAGCATTCCCATTAAAATCGGGAACAATACAGGGATGTGCTGTGTCAAAATTGTTATTAACTAGAGAAAGACAGCAGAAAGCAAAATTGCTATTATTTGTTTTAGAAGTCCAAAAGAATCAGCTGATAAACAATTATAAGCAATTAAAAAGACTTAAGTAGTTGGATAGAAAATTTCTCCGTGAGAAAAAAAATGGATAGAAGTTGATATGCAGAGACAAACTAGGAAAAATAATTTGCAGTCTATATGAAAATGAAAGTCTAGCTTCCTT